AGCAAATGATGCGACATAACATGGCACGAGACATGGTAATAAGTAAATGCTCAACAGCGAGCACACGTCATATCAATCGATACTTGATGAATTTTAAACACTCATCCTATAACTTGCAAGATAATTCGTCTTCATATTCACCTGACATGGCTCGATCGATGGCTCGATTCGTCGCTGGGGCGCCGTATTTCAGACAGGGCCGTTTTGAACGCCGGAGGCCAGAAGGTACAACAGCTGCTGGATGGTGCTCTTCTGCTGAATCAGGTCGACCGGCAGGTTTGGCACGGGCCCCGACCCAGGCTTGAACACCACAACGTCGCTCTCCTAGACCTCTCCGGCACAGGTCTTGCCGATGGGTGAAAAAAATTGTCCCGTGGCCGTGCCATCCAGGCTCAGCAGCAGATGCAGGAGGTTCACCTCGTTGCCGCGTAGCTGACAAATGAACCAGCGAACGGGTGACTCGGTGGCCAGCTCAAACAGCCGGAACACGTCGCCTATCGTTTGGTGTTGACGGCTGTGCCCTCGCAGCCGAGCACATTGATGTGTCCATCGCACTGCGGGATCACGGAGTGTAGCTCGTTGAACAAGTGCAGGGCGCGGCCGAACTCGGATGTAGAATGAGTCACTTGGCGGCTGCCTGGCTCAGTGATGACAACCACGTGTTTTTCGACGGCATTCGTCTGGCTCCGTGCGGCTCATGTAGCTCCTGCCTTCGCGGCCGTCGGAGTACAGGATGGTCAAACCTGACTTTTAGATGGCTTCGAAGTTTTAACGAGCTGTCTCCTTTCTCGATCTGTCTCCTGTGCAGCAGATCTTAGGATCTACGATATTTGATTTCAAGTAGCCTGTCCGTCTCTGCTGTCTTGTTGAAAGGCGTTGATGATGGCAGCAGCGACCCGGTTCGAGCCACCGTGGGTGTCAACCGCCTGTGCGGTGGTAGTCAGATCGTTAACGTTATAATCCACAGTGGCAATGGTCTCAACCGGAATGAACAATCGGCGGCGTCGCCACCTTCCACCATGTAGGGAACCGTGTAAGAATCCGTGCTCTCGGCTGACTCGCCAGCGCTAAGACCACTTGGTCCCGGAGCAGTCTCGCGGCAGCACTAGCAGCCAGCGCGGGTTCAGCAGTCGGCGGAGAAGGCGACTCAGGTTCAGCAGCAGACACCGCCTGACTGGCGGCCGAGCCACACCTCTGGAGTTGTCTCGCCATCCTCCGCACCTCGCGAACCTCTCTAGTCACAATCGCATCCCGGTCATGTGACCCCGGGTAAGCTTCCGTTGCCTGCACTGGTCCTCCATGGCAACCCCCTCTTGTTACACTGTGCAGGCAACTGGGCATGGAAAGCTGCACTGAAGTTTGCACTTGCATATCGCGACATCAAGAAGCTTGTTGAATTTCGCGGTGGCGGCGTTGATGGATCACTCTCTTTCTTTCGTTCATTTCTTGCTTATAGCTCTGTTGGGATGATATCAATCTCTCTCGATCAGTTTTGTCACGTGTTTTGGATCGTGAACAGGGATTGCTTCGTTGGTCCACAGTACCCTGATTTCTGCCAACGCGGTCTTGAAGGTGGTATTAGTAAGATTCCTTTTCGATTCGCTCAGCCACCTGTTGGAGCTCAAGGCTTTCCCGTAGTCGGCAGTTGGTGGTGGGACAGTGGAGCCGGGTGGCCTATCACAAAATGTTTTGTGCGCGACCGTGTAGCCTTCGGCATGCTTATGCAAGTAACTGTTTGAAAGAAATGTTTCAGCACCAGGAACACTCAACTAATAAATCCATATCTCCCACGCAAAAACCACGTAAATTGCAAATGAACATCGATGATGATGTGTTAGCAATACCAATTTGAACCTAACCCGGACTGCTAGAGCATTCTCATAACTGCACAGCTTTGGGTTTTACAAAAAAAAAATAATGTCCCTTACTAAAAAGCCAGCTTTAACGCTGTTTGCAATGCTTTGCTGGTGTTCTTCATGACATCTATGTCATACTTAATCCACTAAGTACCACTTGTGTGGAAAGTGGCAGGCTTGAGGCGTGTTGGAGGATAATCCCAGGGCATAGAATAGGTGGCGCTAGTATCAAATCAGGTTTTATCGGCCTCCTGACTGATACCCGACTTGCATCGCGGGCTTCCACGCGAAGTGGCGTGCCTCTTCTCAGCTTCCACACGGGGTGGCGTGCCCCTTCTCAGCTTCCACGCGGGGTGGCGTACCCCTTCTCAGCTGCTTTGGTCGGTTGGCTCGAGTTGAGGCTGCAACATCCGCAGCATGTTAGCTTGCGGTACAGGAGGCCTTTGCGCCCCTAGCACCAATGTCTGTTTTGATGCCATGGATGACGCCCTCTGCGACATGTTCAACACGTCTCTCACCAGCTCCGATTTCCGTGGTGCTTGAATATGCGCCACTACCCATCCCAAGTGGAGCGTTATCAGGCTTATTGTGTGCAATTATCTAATATCTTAGACCTGGTGCGTTTGCACTTCCCTCCCCCTCCCCCCGGAACTCGAAGCATACCGTGCTGATATCTGTCACCGATCGCCTCATCGCACCTGTCCGTGGAAAAGATCGCACTCGCCTTTGCGTATAAATTTTAAATGTTGGACGTCATCTAGCTTGCGATCTTCGTCACAAAATTACAATATCCAATAAACTCTTCATGCTTTGCTCCATAGCGCTACGATAATATTCAACTGTCAGATTCACTGACAAGCTAGGCAAGTGACCGGCCTCCGCAACTTATTGTAATAATATTGATGTTTGGCTTTGTTTTTTGCCTGCACCTGCGCTTTATTATATTTTCGCTGACAATCGAATAGTCTTCACATGGAATGCTGATGTCAATAAGAGCTCCAACGACACCATGCCACCCATTAGAGGAAAGATGCCACCTATTTTAAATGTAATTATTCACATGAAGCCTGACCTGGCCTCTCTGTTTCCTTAAGGTAAACCCACGCATACCCAAATGATGACTTTCAGAACCCGGCAACTATGAGTACATGGTCGCTTCCCAGCTCCCCTTCCCAGTATTCCCGTCGTTTTCTCGGAGAGTTCAGCCCGATCTAGAGCACTTCGCGGATTGCATCAATCCGCGGATTGGATCAATCCGCGGATTGTGAATCAATGCACGGATTGTGAATCAATGCACGGATTGTGGATCAATCCACGAGTTGTGAATAACGTCGCGGATTGTGGATAAATCCACGGATTGTGGAGCAGCCTGCCAATTTAATCAACCTGCTGATTGTGAATCAATCCATAGATCGGAACAATCCACGGATTGGGGATCGAATTATGGATGAATCTACCGATTTAATCAATCTGCGGATTGTACATCAATCCATGGATCAGATCAGTCCACGGATTGTGCAGTAATCCACGGATTGTGGATCAATCCGGGGACTGGCATGGCCATATCTGTCAACAACTACAATTAGGATTGAGGTTGAGCCCTGTAGCCTCGTTAAACTTATACGGGACTCGAGCAATTATGTTGTATGTTGGTATCGATCACTTGACTCATCAAGTACATTGGCATTGAATTGGATTCGATCAATTAGATTGGACACTACAACTGGACCACAAGTGGCTTAGGTATTGCTGACTGATGAACCTCACAGAACAATACAGACTCCCCGAATCCATTACATGAAACTTAACCCCTCCGGGCCGTGGCGACAAGAGACGTGTCAATGAGGCACATTTACGGCGGAAGCTGTCCTTGTGAATTATTTAGATAACTTTAATTTTAAAATTTAGCGTGTGAAATTTGCATTCAAGTGTCTTAAGGTCGGCTGCCTGCAGGCAGCCTACGTCTCTATGAAATCAATCCCTGTGATGGCTCATGTACGATGACTTTCAGCTTCAGCTTGTTTTGCCCGATTTCACTTCGGTAACTGCAATTTTGCGAGGATATCAGCAAATGCTTAGAATTTAATAGCGATTCCAGTGCTGCCGCAGCAAGATGGCAGGAGGGGGCTGGCTAGATGACGCTGAGTTGTGTGCAGGTCTGCTTCCCTTTTTTTACAGCTGAAAATTGTGCCGTTATATCTTTTTTTGATAATCTTTGTCACTATCACTTGAACACCTGATTAACATTGTCATTTGTGATTCCAAATTTAACTAATACACTCGGTGACAGGCTTAAGCGCTCAGACTCGGACCAAACTCAACCTCAAAGAACTTCACTCAGAATCTGACTCATGAAAAATATGAGAAATGGGCTCAGAAACGGGCTCACAAAACGTGTCAAGGGTCAAGTCCGAACCGGGACAACAACCTATATTTTCGACACACGCTCAAACCCCGCCTCAGAGTCCGAGAAAGGGATCGCTGGGAATGGCTGACAAGCGGTGGCCACCAGACGTTGTATGCCAGTCGTGGATGGCAGCTGCCCTTGTGAGAACGATGCGCCCTGGAGGCTTTCGAGCGGACCCACGCGAACGAACGGTGTCGACTGGGTTCGGCGGACCGGCCGTGGATTGGCACCGGCCCTTGGCACTCTGACAAAGTGTGGCACTCTGATAGAGGCACGCTCGGCCTCAGAGCAAAGCTGAGCGCTGTCCTTTATTCCGACCTGCTGACGCTTCTGCTAACTAACTAAGACGTTTAACCGGGCCGTAAGGTACCAGGAAAAGGAAAACTTACACACAATGCCCAGTGAACTCAGTTCGCATAAGTTCCTAGCTCTAAAGCCATTAAATTACAAACCTCCCGTGGCCAGCCCAATTATAATCTGGTGATGGAAATAGCACGAGATAGCCCACGTCCAAACTTATATGATGGAGCAGTATGAGATTAGCACCAGATCTGCAAAAACCGCCAAAGCTATGGCGAGTTTCGCGCACGTGGCGACGCCAGTGGTCGCCTGATAAATATTAATTCTCGGTCTGGCAGCACGCTCCCTGGCAGCGTCTACGGTCCAAGGTCGGCGGATTGTCCCTGCGTGGGACCGGGGCCCCGGAGAGCGCGCCACGACAACATCGAAGAGTCGTGAATCGCTGCGCACGCTGAGGGGTCGTTGTCAGAGTGGGTTCCGGCGGCGCGGCCTGTGCTCGCGGCCATGTGGGCTCTCGCTATGTTCCTGCTGCTGGTGACGGCGTTCTTGTGGATTCGGAGGCCGCAGAGACCACCTAACTTTCCGCCGGGTACGTATTTAGGCCAACAGAGCTTGAGCGACCAAGAACGCGGCAACTGGAGGGGAGGAGGCAGGGGGGGGGGAGCAGTGGAAGCAGCTCGCCCTCCCTCTGTACTTGAAAGATTGCGGGCGCCCCCCCCCCCCCCCAACTTGGAGGATCTTTGGGGGGCCAAGTCTTTTATGTTAAGTGACCACTCTGGTATGTTAAGGGCCTATTCCAAGCTGTTGAGGGATTATGTAACTCTGCAAAAGTCCATCCTGAGCTGTCAATGGCTCATTCTAGCCGATCAGGGTTTCTTCTGACCAAAAAGTCAATTTTGAGGCTGCAGGGGCCAGTTCTGACCAGAACGTGGCCCATTATTGACTGTTAAGTGCTCATTCTGGCCTAAACAGGCCCACTCTGATCTGTAAATGACCCCTTATTGACTGTGGAGGGCTCATTCTGGCCCATAAAGGGGCCGTTCTGAGGTGCAGAAGGCAAATTTTTGGCTAGAAGAGCTCATTCTGGCATGTAGGAGGGCACATTCAGTCTTGCGAAGAGTCCATTCTGCCCCAAGAGTCCATTCAGTTAAGAATTCAGTCTGGCATGACGAGCGCCTATTCTGACCCAAATAGGCCCCGCTCCGACCAGCAGTGCCTAATGGGCCCATGAAGACCTGCTGGGGCTTATTATTGACTGTTGAAGGCCTACTTTGTCCTGCAGAGGGCTCATTCTGACCTATATTGCGCCCATTTTGGCATGTAGAGGCCCCGTCCTGGCTTCTAGATAGCTTATAATTAACTGTAGAGTTCCTATTCTGGCCTGTAGAGAGCCCATTCTGGCCTGTAGCGAGCCATTCTCATCTGAATAGGGTCGTTTTCTGACCGTGAAGGCCCATTCCGGCCTGAAGAGGACGATTTCTGACCTACAGAGAACACATCCTGGTCTGTAAAGGACCCATCCGGGTCTGTAGGCAGCACGCTATCTAATTTAGGAGCCCCACTGAGCGTAGTTTCCGCGCCCCTGCGGGTGACACTGGGCGTTTGAAGGTAGGTGCACAAGTGTGCGCTCATGGAGAGGCACGGCGAAAATTTTGTTGCTCAACATTCTCTGGTTCTGGTTGATGTGCCATTAAGTACCTCGCTTCTGACGTAAGGGGTAAAAACTAAGCCATCGGCAGGATAAAAACTGGTCGTGAATGAACTTCCAGAATCCAATCAGTTCAACCTAACTTGCCATTTCTACCTATTTTTTCTGTAAAATGGAAATCAAACGCTGCTCAATAAACCACAGAGGACATATTTTCCAAAAGAAAAAAATCGCACGCATCCACCACCTGCCGGCTACCAATGCAACGGAGTTCCGGAGGATACTCACTTGAAGTGCAGCCTGCCGGCCCTTTATATTTCACTTTTTACGTGAGAGGAAATGTAGCACACATGGAACATTTACTACTCCAACACCTGACATCCAGCCATTAAACCAGCTCTAATCCAGTCTTGCTGACCTAAGCCATTCCTGACGCTTGTGCTGAAAAAACTCCAGTACAAGACGGCCCAACCAACCAGTTACCCTCGAAGTCATCGATTTATCCAAGCCGTGAGCATACGCCACCTTCTATCAAACTTTGTCCGATTTCTTGCCGCGGTACTGACTCCTCATTACTATTAAATGTATGAATTTTTATAGATTACACATATGCAACGACAGTACAACCACGGCGCAGATTTGGAGGGCGCCTCCGATGTAGTTGGCCGTGTTGAAACTGCTTATCTTGTGTTTTCGAGCACGGCCAAACCACACGCATTCTCGCATTATCCTCTTGTTTACTGCTGATTATAGCAAGCGCAAGGAACCACGGCCCAACCATCTTCCGTGTGCCAGTCGCTCGTAAATAACACACGATGATCCAGCGTTTATCCCCACTCCGCGTCCAAGGATGAAGAATGATGGGAAAGAGGGATCCCTTCTTATGCCCAACGCACAGGAAGATGTCTAATATACACTCGCCTGGGAATGGGAGCGTGGAATTTTCCTTTTCTTATATCTGGCGCCCTTATCTAAACACAAAATGCTTAGATTGGCTGGGGCCATCGGGAAGTTGTTTTATATGCAATATTGGTGACATTACATTAGTTCTTTCTAGACAAAACCCGGATTTGAACTATATTCCTGCATGCACATACAGCAAGCCGAAATATTATCTCGGAAAGAGATTAAAATATAAGACATACTGAAGTTAAGCATCTGATACAGTCTATTACACGCTACCAACGGTGCTCGTGCATCTTTCGTGCTAAGTTCACGACACCGCAGCGTTGCAGTCCTCCGCAAAATTCCAACCAATTGTTTATTTTTGCAAATGACGCTTTGGCCATTCACTGGAAAATGGACAAAAGCGATTTCGTTTGTTGCCTTGTTAGTAGCAGATTTCCGCACAGCCAACATGGCGTATACCCCATTCCCACCATGCCGCTCTCGTCCACAAACCCTGTCCTGGGGAATTGGGTGGGGGGGGGGGGGCTGACGTATACTTCATTCACCGTTGTATTATATATGTTTTTTATCCTTACCTTAGCCATGGATGGCTTTGTTGAGCGCGGTACCTTAACCGGCCGAAAATCCCACCTTAACTGGCAGAAGTTTTAGTTTTAATCATCGTCCTATTTTTCGTTTGTTAGCCATCCTATTTCATACTCTTCCTTGCCCTACCCTGATAACTTTACATCCTAACCCGCCTCACCTACTTCGTCCCCTTCAAACGAAGGCCCTTATTTGTCCTGCCCATAGCAACCGACACAAGAATATCCACGATGTGTTTTGGATCTGTCGAGTAGTCAAACGCAGCTACAAAAACGACACGCTCGCGCGTCCGAGTCCCCGAGAAGTAACTTATTTACATCTGCAGCGGTGTGAGGCAGATGAAAGTGGGCAGGACCGCGTATTTCTTAGGTAAGGCAGCGGGGTTGTCACTAACGATCTTGTGCCACGTCAGGGGTCTTATAAGCACCGTGGGTCGGGGCTCAACAGGAACCCAAACCAGAGACCTTCACTACAGAATGTAACTACCTGAGCACATAACATACTATCGCCCCCCCCCCCCCCCCCTCCCATCCCCACCCCTACCTCAAATTAACTGTCCGTGCATCGCCTGAACAATGTGTGGGCGAACTAGTCTGGCCCTCTTGTTTGTAAATCCAAGCCTGTCTCGGAACTCCCCTCGGCATACCATTTTGATGAGACATTTTAGAGATTCTTACACTTATTTTTTTTAGAATGATATGTTAGAGACTTTTATGCTTATATTTTTCAGACAGGCACTTTAGATATTTCAACATTGTGTGTTTATAAGACAGACGTCTGCACTAGAGCACAGTCATGTGTGTACTGAGCGATAACAGTAGTGATGTGGGCACTGAAACGTACCCCCGAACGGTACTAAGTGAGACTGGTTTGGGCTTAAACATTTTTTTTGCGTTAACTTGTATGCGTCTATATAGAACGTATATATATAGCGTCTATATATGACGTATAACGTTTACAACATTAACTTTAAATGCGTCCTTTTTCAGGCCCTCCAACATTTCTCATCTTTGGCAATATTTGGACGGTGATTGAGTGGATTCGGGGCAAGATTATAGCGAGCACGGAGCATTGTCGGCACAAGTTTGGAGATATTTTTGGCTTTGTCCTTCCCACTGGTGACAAGATTGTGCACATTTGCGACTTTGAAGACATCAAAGAGGCCTGCGCGACGCAAGAACTGTCTGGAAGACCGAACAGTTTTGTCGTGCTGCTCCGCAGCTTCCAACAAAAGCTTGGTATAGCCTTCAGCGAAGGCCCCACCTGGATGGAGCACAGGCGCTTTGTACTGAGACATCTCAGAGATCTGGGCTTCGGGAAAAACTCCATGGAGTCGACAGTTTTGAACGAATTCGAAGAGCTCTCCCAGGAGATGAGGCGTGACGTTGACTCACCGATGAAGGTCAACTTCCGCTTCAACCTGACGGTGCTCAACATACTCTGGAGAATGGTCGCCGACAAGCGGCTGGAGAGTAGTGATCCCAAGGCCCAACACTACATCGCGACGGTCAACGAATTCTTCACCCTTATTGGTCCGGGTAACCCGATGAACATGGCGCCGTGGCTGCGTCACATCGCCCCTGAGTGGAGCGGCTACGCGCCGCTGATCCGACATCGCGAGACCACGGTCGGCATGTTCCACGAGGTGGTCCACGAGCATCGGCAGACGTTGGACCGGTCCAGCCCACGCGACTTCATCGACCAGTTCCTGCTGGAGATGGAGAAGCCAGACGCTGAGGCTCGCCTCTTCACAGAACGCAACCTGTCCATCATCGGCATGGACTTGTTCATCGCTGGCATGGAGACGACGTCCACCTCTCTGAGCTGGGCGTTGCTCTTCATGGTCAAGTATCCGGAGGTGCAGAGTCGCGCGCAGCGCGAGATCGACGCTGTTCTTGGCGGAAGTCCGCCAACCTACGACGACCGCACGCGCATGCCGTACACTGAAGCCACGCTGATGGAGGTGATGCGGCGTTCCAACGTCCTCCCTCACGCAGTGCCGCACAGTGCACTGAGCGACCTCTCGTTCCGCGGCTACACCATCCCCCAGGGCACCACGGTGATCATGCACCTGAACATGGTGCACATGGACCCGGCGTACTGGGGTGACCCGGAGGCGTTCAGGCCCGACCGGTTCCTGCACGCCGACGGTAGCGTGCGCCGTGATGAGCGGCTCATCCCGTTCGGCATCGGGAAGAGGTTTTGCCTGGGAGAGACGCTGGCGCGCATGGAGATGTTCATGCTCTTCACCTGTCTACTGCAGCGTTTCAGCTTCACCGCCGTCCCAGGGCAGAAACTCTCGCTGGAGACCAGGTTCGCGGTTGTGCAGCAGCCTCCCGAGTTCTTCGTGACCTACAAGCCGCGTGATTAGCCAGTATGACCTACAAGCCGCGTGACTAGTCTTTATTTCCTACAAGCCGCGTGGTTAGTCGTTATGACCTACAAGCCGCGTGACTAGCCTTTGTGACCGACAAGCCGTGCGACTGGCATTTATGACCTACAAGCCGCGTGACCAGCTTGTATGACCTTTAAGTCGCGCGACCGGCCTTTATGACCCACAAGCCACGTGACTAGCTTGTACGACCGTCAAGCCGCGTGACCGGCCTTTATGACCTACAAGTCGCTTGACTAGCTTGTATGACCTACAAGCCGCGTGACTGGCCTTTATGACCCACAAGCCGCGTGACTAGCCTTTGTGCTCTACAAGTCGCGTGACCGGCCTTTGTGACCTAAAAGCCACGTAACTGGCCTGATGGCCTACAAGCGGCGTGACTAGTCTTTATGACTTACAAGCCACATGATTAGAGGTGAGGTGGCGGCTATGCACTTGCTCGAGCACCTTTGGAGTCTGGATACCATGTAACACTTGCATGTCTGCCACCCACATTGTTCTCGCATCTTCATAACCAAACGGCAAATAGAGTGGGTGGCGCTCTCCGCCTCCACCATCATATAGCTATAATGCCCGCCTAAATCGCACGTGGTGTAATAACGCAGAGTTTAAAAGCGGCGAAGGTATTAGAATAGACCAGCGCCTGTGTGGGTTTAAGTCTGCACTTAACACATTTCATAATTTGTGCCGTTCTTTCACCATCTGGAATATTGTCATCGTAATATGGGCAGATCTGATGTGGTGTGGGTTTATGTCTCTGATTGGTGTGCGGACCGGCACTGACGTTAGCGTTTTCTGTCATGAATACATCTGGCAACAGTATAGGCTACACAGCTGTCATTTTTGTCTGCGTAGTTTCGATGACGTTACCATCCACAGCTGCTCGAGGCGGTCGCCTAGCGGGAATGTCCGACAGATAGTGGCTGACGTGTCGTGGCCATACCTTCTTTTGACACGGTACGCGCGCAGGCGTGGGTAGAGTTCCAGATTTAATACATCTGTGTCCCACTGAAACAGTCATTTTGCTGCAAATGCGTGCAGTGTGGTGCTGCCATTATGGCATGCCATTCTGAGGCTTTCACGCATGGGTGATGTTACTATTTTGTGTAGGGAACGGAAGGCTGTGACACCACCATAATACTTGAATGAAAAAATTAACGAAAAATGTGCAAGCAATATCTGACGTTACCGTAAATGATCATTATCATGCAATTCCTTAAGCATCAATGCACAAACGGGTGTATTTCCAGTGACAAAAGTTTCGCGGGGCGTTATTTTGTGTCTTTTTATTCCGCAGTTGCTCTATGGCTTGGACGCCTGGTTCATTTTTTCGTTGCTTTTGGAAAAATAATAGCTGAGAGTAACTCTTGTCATTTGCTACGGCGCTGATAAAGCATCCCAACGACACGCTGCTGGCGGAGCACAAATCCTGCATACTCCTGAGTTGTGCCCTGATCGTGAAATACTGGATTTTTTGCACATGGCTCAGACAAAATGGTGGCGTAAGCTTTATCGTATCTTGCGCGTTGCGTATGTCACGTCTTGCTCATTGCTTGTGGAATATTAACCACAGTTTGTCGGAAATGACCGTATCAGTGGTAGCATCAGTAAAATTGAAACTTACCTCGTGGCATGTACCATAAGGCACAGCTGTCCGTCCTACCACATTTTAGATAGCATCGGACGGTAGTTAAATCAAGACCAAGAGCAATGTAGGCATAGCGACAAAGGTCAAGGCGTCGTTCGAGTGGGTAGATGATCGCTGTGTCCCAAATGCATGGAGTACATGTACTGTTTCTTTAAAATAGGTATGTTTATGCATGGCTAATTTCAGCAGCGACGAAGCCGGCGGATGATTTGAGTAATGGGACGAGTTGAAGAGATGAAGGGAGAGTGACCTGGCTGCATGGCCACTGTGTGCCCTTTGCACGAACTCTAACGTCGTAACGCTCAATCGAAAATATATATATATATATATATATATATATATATATATATTTATCAATCCTTGGAACCTCCTTGGGCTTTCGCTCTTGTGCAATAGATGACTAGGAGTTAAGGTTTGGCAAACGACCGACCGCTGTATATGTGACGTTTCGACATTCAAAGCACCCTGCAATTTTCAGTTTTAAAACTAACAAATCACCACGTGTTACTGAAAAGCCCCAAACTCACGACACGCAAATCTATTGGATCTAAGGGCACATCCGAGTGCATTAGGGCAGCCAATTTCATGTTGGGCGTCAAATGGTGATGAATTGTTTGTCTGAAATCTTTTTTACTTCTTGATTGTTCACCTTTATTTCAATTCACTTTTATTCATGATGACCATTTGTCACTTGCCTTGCTTCCCAGTGAAGTTTTAACCCTGTCGAATTGCATCCTTTCCGACAATGTGTTCCTAGGACTCTTCCCATTCGACATGATCTCTGTCGACGTTGATCCCATTCGACTAAATGGGATCGACAATTCCGATCCAGTTTTTCATTCGACTTGTTCCACTCGAATTTTAACGGCCAACCATACGGGTACGTGCTCAGCACTTGGCCTGGGCTCTCACCAAGTTAACTAAGACCACTCACGGCTGGCGCATGTGGCCCTCCCGGATCAACGGGGCGTCCCGACGTGCAAGATGAAGCGAGAACGAGGAAGAAAGGCGAATGTACCTACAATCAATACTTGGCACTCATTCAACAGGACGCTGTATTGGAAACGTACGAGAAATGATGTAAAATTTTCCGTCTCTTGCTCGCGATGCGAAAATTTACGGCAGGGCCATTACTGGCAAGGCCCTAGAAAAGAAGGTATAACCGTCCGGCCAAATTCCGCCGGTTTGACTGATGACGTCACAAGTGAACTCGGCACGTACTGGTTTACGGCGGATGCATGCCTACCGCAGTTTGCTTGGCTTTTTGAAAAGGTTCTAAGGCTGGAAGCCGTTAAATATTTTTGTTCAGATCATAACAAGACTATTTCTTCTCCGAACAGGCCAAAATATGAGCTCCAGGGTCTACCAACACGCGCCCAGGTGGCCGACTAAATACCATTCGCTCGGGTGGGGGTCAATTTGACCGTCCCTGAGATCTTGGGAAATAAGAAAGCTAGAGACAAAAAATTTACAGGATGTGTTAACCTATACGTGAACTCAGTAGGATCAAAGTTTGAGATTCCTAGGTCATGGCCTTCAGGCCAAACAAGGTCAAACAAGGTCAAATTCAAGGTTGGTCTCCAAAGTGCCCCCAGAACCTAGGCAACTGTTTCTAAGCAAACGGTCACACGCCCATTTGAGGTCAGTGACCTAGTTTGACCTTCTCAAGGTCATGGTGACTAAAATCAGACAAGAGTGCTCTTTTTTTGCATTTGAATAAGTGACAAACATTACGCTTGGCAGTCTGTTCCTAAAACAAAATGTCAAATCGGGTTATCTTAGGTCAATGACCTGGTCTGACCTCTAAGAAGTCAATAGAAGATGCATAATGCGGTTCCTGCTATCAATAAATTCTAAATGAGCACTAGAAACTATCCCTTACAACAAGTCCTAGGGTAATAAATCAGGCTGATTTTGACTTTAGTCTGACCTCCATACCTGACCTTAACTCAACGTAATTTGCTCATTCAATATTTGTGGTGCCTAAGAAAGCATCTCAGAGATGTCTGGCTACATTTTTGCAGAAGCTGGGTCAATTGGCGCATTTCATTTCTTCAAAAAGTTTATGCTCTTTGGCTAAGTGCGGATGCTGTGTTACGAACATATTGATGCCACAATGGGGTCAGATCAAGGTCATTCCATAGGTTAGCGTGATAATTTGGTGCATTCACGCGACACATGAGTCAAAATATTTTCACATCCATTTTGCTCGCGTTATGCACCTTAAACATCAGCTATAATGTTTTCTGGTCAATCCATGTTCAAAATGTAGGTAAGATGCCGAGACGAGGTCATACGGGGTCACCATGACATGCGGTAGGCTAGTCACGTCATACATGTTTTCGGATGGCCCATGCCACTGGAATCCAATAAAATCGCTTCTAATCTTGCATCGGGTGATGTCATTTCCTAAAGAGATCAAAGCCTGCTGTTTGCCAAAACCTTCTCTGCAAGTAGCAGCCCAATGCCACCTTACACTAGAATCAGTGAAATAGAAAACCTGTGTCCTTAACATTACCAACAGGTTTGCATACGGCTACCGTACACACAATCAGCATCGTGCGCAATACACTTATTTAGCTTTCGTGCATAATACACAAAAACTTTGAACACATCACAACTAAATCCAACAAGCACTGCCTCAATCCCCACAAAACATGAATAACGTGAACTGAGCAAAAGTAAACAACACGCGGCGACGCGAGTCAAGGTTAATGAAATTATTTTGTTTTGCATTTGGCACTTAGCCAAAATGAACCTATGGCGATACACAGGGATGACAGGGGGCTGATTACTGGCCCATGGCTGGGGTGTAGACATGATTGGTTCTATAGCCTTGGGCGGTGGCATGTCTGTACTTAAGAACCTGGACCTAGATCTGGACTTCTGAAATTTCAGCTTTTGGCTTCCGCTTGGCTGCCGCACGTGAAGATTTGTAACGCTATGGCGTGAATGCAATGTGCCTGTGAAACGTTTGAAATCGGTTGATACGTCTTTCCGTCCTCGTCTTACCACTGCACTAGTGTGTAGTAACATCACGTTTGCTCTGAACGCAAGCGAAAAACATACCGGTTCACTGTTTAGACAAAGCAATACACTGTTTTCATTCAGAGTCATTATGCTTACAACAAGTTGGGGGCTAAACCCATAAGCTCTGAGTTAAGGAACTAACCCATTTCACCCATTCACAACCCTGTTTCTGTTCTTTACTACCAAAAATACTTCCCGTTCTCCATGTCTCCAGGAAAATTAAAGTCGCTAATTTGTGTCAGAATGAGTAAAAAGCGTGGAGTATGTATTACAACGGTACAACGGGCATATTGCCTCCCGCCCAGCCCGTATTTTGACAGCCTTATCCTCCTCTAGGACAGCTCAACGGAGGACGCAAAAGGTGCGCTGTTGGCGATGAAAAAGTGCCTTCGCCAGGGCGTTGCTGCTCTACGCTTAACCACCTGAGCCGATCTTCCATATTGATGTACTTAACCCCGCCCCTGTGACGTGGTGCAGCCGTCCCAACAACGTGCGTAATCTGGTGAAATGTTAGAGCCAGCTTGTTACTGAGAGCCACCGTTCTCAATTTTTCAACCTGACGCTGGATGCAGCCTCAAGAGTAAATTTTCCGAAAATGCTGCTTTTAGATGACTTGGCATTCAGCATCCCGACAGCAGGAGCGAAATGGACAAAAAGAGCAGTTCAAACTGAGCAAATTTGATGTCAACGTGTGATAAGCACTGTGAATGAGCAAGTGAGCAAACTGAGCAAGTTTGAACTGCTTTCAACGAAGAAGGTAGCGTAAATTCATCAATGTGTTGGTAATTATGTACATCCTACTACTTGTCACTGCGATGTGAAATCTTGACATGACATGGCAAACTCGTTACATATTACACCATCCAGCTTTTAAAGCAGTGCGCTTTGCTCTCCACTAGCTTTCTTAGTGTGTACATGAAGCTCACGCGCTGTAATAATTCTGGAGGTTGTGACCTTGACATTAGCGGCGTAGGAGTCAGGCTCCCGGGCAGCGGACATTGATAGGCACTACCAGGGCGGCGCCAAGTTTTGATCCGGTGAAAGAGGTCGAAAAAGTTCGCCTTCTCCTTCCAGGCATACACTAATACCGTTTATGGTTGGCCTCAGGCGAAACCAAACATTCCCCGGAGTGATGCGTTCAGACTGACAAAAGCAACTGCGGCATGAACTGATTCCATTCGATCCAGGCGAAGGCGATGCACGTGACACACCGCTGCTGCGTTGATCCTCCTCTGCGTCAAACTGCGAAACCCGTTTTCAGCCCGTGTCCTGCGCCGAGACTGCAT